ATGAAAATTACCCTGTGATCTGAACTCAGAATCTGTTTTTTTTTTTTTTTTTTTTTTTTTTTTTACCAGGGATACTACTAAACCATAAAAAAAGGTTAAACTTGAGACTTTTATAGGTAAACGGATACACTTTGAGACCATATTTTTAAGTGAAATAAACCTGACACACTTGCGTAAATATCAAATTGTTTCTGTGGTTTGAGAAATTGAAAGTGTAAATGAGGACCAAAATGTACAACTGATACTGTGAAATATTAGGAGAATATTCAAATGGGAAAGGGAACTGGGGATGAGAAAGGGGGAATGGAAGGATGGAAAAGTAAAACAAAAGAAAAGAAGGAAAAATGGAAAGAAAGATTTTGTAAATAGGAAGTAAATAAGAGTTGAAGGGAGGGAAAGGAAATGAGAAAAAAAATGAGAATCAAGATTTATATGGACAGGTATAAATTTCTATGATGAATGTGATCATTATGTACACCTAAATTGTACTTATTCTTTTAATTAATTAGAAAAGAAAGAAAAACCTTTCACATTAATAAAAATATTAAATTCTTTATTCATCAATGGACAATATGAAGAGTGTGAAAAGAGAAATCTACTGCACTGGAGAAAACATTTGCCTATTATAGACATGATAAGGCTCTACCATTCAGCTTAAAGAGCAAACCGTCCTTTTCAAATTATAAAACTATCCCAATTGGCCCAATTAGTACATGATCATAAGATTGAAGAAAATGCATCAGAAGAAGATATGCAAACATCCAATAACCACATGAAAACATTTTCATCATTCTGAACTGTTGTCTCAGTGCAAATGAAAACCGCAGTAACATAGCCCTTCCAACACACTAGCAGGCTGTAGTTTTTGTAAAAAGGAGAACAATAACGTTGAGAAATTGTGGAGAGTTGGAGCTTTTGAACAAGGTTGGTGGGAATATAAGGTTGTGCTGCCCCTGGGGGAAACATTCGAATTTTCCACAGAAATTAATCTGTGAATGTGCTCTGTCCATACAATGGAATGCTGTTTAGACTTGGAAAGAAATGAAGCACTCATAGTGGCTGCATGGACGAGTCTTGAAAGTGCTACACTAGGTGAAGTGGCCAAGCCTAAGAGGTGACAGTTCACGTGATTCTGCGTCTGTGCTACATCCAGAACAGGCAAAACCTTAGAGAACGTGGCCAGTGATAATCAGAAGAGAAGCACTGCTTTGGGGCACCTGGTTTCTTTCTGGGGTGATGAATGTTCTGGAACTACACAGTGGTGATAGTTATATCTCACTAAAAATGTACAAATTCCAGTTGTGTGTTTTAAATCAATAGTGCTGACTGTAACATTAATGAATTTTATCTCAATAAAATATACAGATGTAAAATTTAAAAGTATACAGAGACACCAAATTCAGCCAGCTGGTGGAAAAGATCAAAAAGTCCACTATGGGCTTTAGGGAAATGTCAGTGGTAGCCCTCAGTGATCTGCCCCAGGTTCAGTTACAGAACCAAAAACCAAAATCCAAACCAAACAATAAGCTTCTTTGGTTCTTCAACTTACACCCTTTCAGCTCTCACTGTTGGGAGTGTTAGCTGTGCCCAGCTTCCTGGAGACCCCTTGGTCACATATATCAGAACAGGAAGAAACTCGTCACCCAGCTATATTTGCATTTAGCGCCTCATCTCCTTGGCACACATGCACTGCGCAAATGGATAACAAAAGTGCTCATCAAACTTTTTTCTGTTGGCGCAATGAAAGGAGTGCCCTGACCATCCACTGGGAGTAGACGCCCACGACATTAGGGTCCTCATGCAGTGCACACCACAGTTAGGGAGCACCAGGACCACCTGTTCGACTGACACCCTGTGACCTATTTGACCTCGGGGGGCCAGACCAAGGCTGAGCACAGCATGTGTGGTCAGGGTTACCCCTAGGAGGGGACTGAGCTCTGAAGACAGACTGTTGTGTGTACTGATTGTTTGCTTGTGTGGCTCTGTTTCCTTGCACAAGTGCTTAGACTGATGTAATAGGTGCATCCAGGTGATGGGTGCAAAGGACATGGACAGTCTGGTTCTGCTCTGTGAAGTTTTCCCTCTCTGTGTGTCTGAGGGAATGAAGGGTGGCTAAGGAGAAGGGCTCAACATGGCCATAGGTGCTGTGCATGGGGAAGAGTCACTGGCGTTGCCACAGGGATCTCTGTCACCGGGATGAGTCCAGGATGAGGAAGGACCCAGCCCTGCATAAGCTGAAGAGACCCTTCCCCCAGCCCGAGGGAGGTTTCTCTCTGCCTGGGCCAGGTCTTGTGCACACACAGACTAGAAACTTCCTTACAGCATCTGGAAGAAAAAGAGGTTTATATTTCTCTTGAGTTGGGCTGAGGGATGAGATCAGGCAGCACTCCTGACTCCCACCCCTGAAAGCCTACAGAGGGACAGACGTGTCATTGTAGGTCCTGCCTGGGCCAAGTTCCAGCTCAGAGCCAGAGGACTCCCCAGGCCCTGTCCTGTCCTTCACACCCTCAGGGCCCAAGGCATCAGGCACAGCACACACCAGTGAGGTTGAGCTGCACGGTCCTCTCCACAGTCATGCCAGCTGCAGGGAACATCACCTGACAGGTGAGGTTGGTGCCGTGGTCCTGGGGTCGAGGGTTCAGGGTGAGCACAGAGGAGTGGGTGGTCCTGGGGCCCAGGGAGGTGAGGGCAGCTGACGTCCAGGAGAAGATGGGGGGCGTCCCATGCTAACAGGCTCAGGGCACAGAGCAGGTCACGTTGCTGGGGCGGCCGGGCATCAGGGTCTGGGGTATGAGGACTTCAGGGGTGTGGGTCAGGGCTGGTGAGGAGAGAAGACAGTGAGATGGGAGGCCAGGCCCAAGTGCAGCTCTGACAGAAGCTCAGACCCCGACCGAGTTCCTAGTGAGGTCCTAATACTTGAGCCCCAAATCTTCCCAAGACAGCGTCCACCCCAGCCACCTCCTTAGGCCACCAAAACTGGTGTGTCCCACCCAGTCCTTACCTGTCACCTCCACGGAGACCTGGTCTGCACAGTAATTCCATTGTACACTTCCTGATTCTACCTGAAAGAAGTATGAACCACTGTCCTCCTTCTGTGAGTCTCTGATGTGCAAGGAGCAGTTCTTGGTCTGCAGGTTCAGAAGGAGGTGGAACCAGCCCGAGTCCTCTCTTGCACTTGTCTTTGGGGGTTGTTTTTGGCCACTGGGGAGTCATGATTTATATTGGCCCCTTCTTGAAACCAGTAGCCAGAGACAGAGCCAGGCCTGGAGTCCAGTAGAGAGTCCAGGAATCTGCAGGGCACGAGGGCACTCTGGCTCTCCTGTATGGTCACTGCTTTTGGCACTTCCAGTCTGTATCTCAGACTGGCAGGTGAGCACCCTGAGGGTAAAGGAGGCTCAGATCCTTGCAGCCCCCACTGCCCTTTCCCTTGTGCCCACAGCAGCAGCAGGGGAAGCAGCAGTATCTCGGAGGTAGAGGTCCTGGCTTCTGTGTAAGAGCAGAGAAGGGAGCAGTGTGGAGGGAACGTGCAGAAATCTGGGTGGAGCAAGAGAGCTGGGTGGTTCACAGAAGAGGAACTCAGACCCACACCTCGTGGGTGCTGCCCCTCTATACAGAATGGATGGAAAGCTAGGAAACCCACCCAGGGGGCAGATAGGAGCAGAGGCTCTGTCCTGACCCCGTCTTGGAAACTTGTTTGAGCACTGGGTTTATTCCAGGTCAGTGGGGACACCTGAGGAAGTGTCACGAGTGAGGATTCGGCTGACTAACTCTTGCCTGGCCCGGCAAGGGCTCAGCCTTCCCTACACCCATGAGTGGATGGTGAGGAAAAAAGGATTCTGCATGCTCTGTGTATCTGGGACAGAAGAAAGGAAGAGGGGTCCTTGGCAAAGTTCAGGCAACAGCTAACCGTTCATTCACTCAGCAAACACACAGTGAGTTTGAAACATTTGTGAAGTTGCACAGGCGAGGATAAAGGATGACCTGAGCTCAAGCCTAAGCTGCCCCCATGTAGGAGACTCAAGTTCAGGGATCACAGTAGTAGATTGAGTGTAGTTTTAAAATATAAGCCAGAAAATGTTTTCCTAAAAGAGCGCAGTGCACAAAGGGTGACACCTCCAGAGTAACAAACAGGCAGTGTCTTCATATGGCACAAAGGGAACATGAGCTCTGCATGAATGCAGGAGAAACTTCTTTCCCACCAGTGCTTGGTGTAGCGCAGTGAGTTTCACTCTGTCCTCATCGTGCAGATGAGCGCCTCCTTCCAAGTAGCAAGTCTACTTCTCACAAGCAAATGTGTTTCAGAAGATGGATAGATTCAGATGAGCTGAGGAGATGACATAGATAAAATCTTTTTTCAGCTCACACGGATTTCTATCTCCCTCATGTGTCTTTCCCAGGGAATCAGACCCGTGTTCCCCAAATGCATGTCTCACAGGAGATCACTCATCTGTCAAGACCTGGAGAGCAGAGGAAGATGATGAAAGGGGTCAAGGTATGGGACATGGGGGCGGGCAGAAGACAACAGGGCGGCTCTCAGGGTGGAACAGGGGCCCCACAAACCCGGGCCTGGTAGCCCAACCTTCTCTGTGTTGTCTTCTGAGTAAGAAGAGCTTTGCAGATGTGACTAAGTAAATTTCCTTGACCAGCAGGGTTCATCTTGGATCGTCCAACTGGCCCCTGAATCCAATCACAATGTCTCTGCACTGGAGAAGCAGAGGGAGAGTAGGTGCACAGGAAGGGGTGAGACCACCTGACCAGAGATGCTGAGACTGGAGTGACAGGGCCAGCAGTCAAGGGAGACAGCAGCCTCAACAAGCTGAGAGGAGCCCGGGGTGGGCCCGTTCCAAGCAGTCTGGGAGGAGGCTGCCCATGGGACCCTTAGATCTGACCCAGGGAAATGGACTTCAGAAATAAGCGATAGTAGATGCATTCCTTTCAGACATCATACAGAATCAATGAAATGTCATCTTCCACAGAAGACTGCTTTAGAAAAAGTGACACGGCACTGACTCATGTAAACACACATACATACACACACACACACACTTACACACATCAGCACATGCATACAGTACAGTTATGTAGTCTTAGACAAGGAGGAGAGCTGGACATCTTGCATGACACGGGTGAATTCAAGGACACTATGCTATGTGAAATAATTTGTGCATAGAGACACATTATGTGATTTTCTGTGAAACTTGAAAAGTCAAACTCATAAAAGCAAGAGAAGAGTGCTAGGCGGAGGCTTGGGAGTGCCAGTAAGGAGGCAAAGGTGACAAAGGCTGTAGTTAAACTTAGATAGGAGAAGGAAGTTCTGGACATTGGTACCTAAAGATGGATATAGTTCATAATGATGTCCTGTGTATTTCAAAATTGTTATCTGAAGCAATTTCTCATAGTTCCCATCATAAAGCTACACAAAACAAATACTGCCAAATGCAAAACAATCTTTTGATTAACACAGGATGTGTTAGTTGCAAGTGCAGAACTGTTGGTGAATATCTGAGGTCATTCTAATGTTAGCTTTCCTTAGTATGGATTAGGGCAAATATATTTCAAAACCTTATGCTGCGCAACACCTGTATACATAAGTATATATGGTGTCTGTTTGCTGATAATTAATGATATTAATAAAGGTAATTATAAATTACAGAAATGACTATGTACAAAGATCACATTGTATGCTGAAAGTGCACGAATTTTTTGTCAGTTACAGAGAAATCTTTCCTACAGATATCTAAAGGTAATCCAAATGATTCATCACAATTAATAAGCAAAGAGAAATTGCTGATACAAAGGTCACGGTTGATGAGCGAGTTTCCTCTTTCCCATGTGTGATCACCATTTTCTCGCCTCCCCTGTAGCCTGCCCTTCAGCTCAGCTATGCTCTGTAACAAACCGGTACCGGGAACCGAACTCACGACCTTGCACTTGTCAGGCAGGTGCTTTTGCCGCTGAGCTAAATCCCCAGCCCCCTCTCCCCACGTTTTTATCCAGCTCTCTTCCTGAATCCCCACGTGGGTGTCATGAGGCTTCTCAGAATTACAGTCCTTCCGTAATACCTTCTCCTCTGTGGAACAGATCACCTCCCTGCCATGTGCTGTGGGCATTCTGGCTCTGTCCTTGATCCCCTCTTTTCTTTCCTGAACACATGCATGGGAAACCCTGACAGGAAAAGGCATCTTGGAGGGATAGAGGTAGCAGTCCTCAGCAGATGCTTGGAATAGACTCATGAAGGTCCACAGGAACTCGGATGCAGGGTGCAGACAAAAAGCCAACCACGAGAAAGCAACCTGAAGGAGAAGCCCATGGATGAAATGTGGTAACAGGGGTGCTTAGAATAAGAGTCAGGGCTGCTGCTTGGTCCTGACGCTCCTTAGAGCTCAGGTCTGGAGCACAGGCCATGCTGGGAACATTCTAATCCTCCTGAGGGAGGAAACCAAGTGCAGCCAGGCTGTCTGTTGGTCCCCAGCCAAGCAGTCATAACGCAGTGCCTACCTGGCCTGACTCTCCTCTCAGTGGGACAGGATGCCCGAGTAGGGAGACATTCACAGGTGGGGGCCTCTCCAGATCCGGGCATTAAGGAAACTGGAGGAATAAAGGAGACCCAGAAAATCACTCAGAGGGCAGTGGCCAAGTTAGGACCGGTGAGCCTTAGGGATAGTTAGGAGCAAAGGGCAAGGTCCTGTTTATAGACAGAACAAGGTGTTGAGACATCCCTGAGATGACAAGAATGGTAGGAGATTGCAGTGGCCCAACTGGATGGGGCCTCTGAATATTATTTGGGTTTCCACAGCTGTTGTCATGGTAGTGAGGCTGGAGAAAGAATACGGGAGCAATGCCAGCAGGCGCTCTCCCAACACCCACCAACACCCCTGAGCTCTGAGCCCTGTGAGTTCCCTCTCACCATCCACTAAGCCCTACAGAGCTCTGCACAGATGGTCTCTCCTCCTCTGCGACCTGAATACCATTGAACTCAAGGGCTGGAGAGACCTTCCCTGTGACGCCAAGCAGCTGACACTGGAGAAGAAAACCCAAATCAGTGCCCATGGAAGCAGTTTGCTGTGAGCTCCCAGCAACCACTAAATCCTGGGTCAGACTGAAACTTAGGAACATGAGTATCTCTCTGACATCAGAGGGACAGAGAAAAGCAACCAGAGTGACCTGCAGGGAGGGGGTCACTGCGTCTGGGCCGACTACAGGACACCTATGAAGTGGCCTGAGTGAGAAAGGCTGGGCAGAGTGAAGGGATGGCAGCGGAGCCTGGGAAGCTGGAAGTGGTCATATAGGCATAGCAACATCCGGGTCAGTGGCACAACACATCCGAGAACCTGAGGTTCTGAGTGTGTGTGGGAGAGGTGTTTGGGACCTGTCTTGGTTACTTTTTTCTCATTGCTGGGACAAACTACCTGACGCCCAAAATGAAGGAAGGAAAGGTTTATTTTGCTTACAGTTCGTGGAAGCTTCAGTCCGTACTTGGCAGATTATAAGGCACAGTGGCACATGGCAAAGAGCTGCAGCTCAGGACGGCAGAACACAGCTAAGCAACAACCATACACCAGGGCGGAATAGGGGAGGAATGCCCCAAGCACCCTTTTCCTCTCCCTTACATATGCAAACTATCCACCCCAGGGCGGGTGTAGCTCTCATACCCATACTAATCAAACTCTAAAAGCCTGCCCCGAGGTCGCATGAGGCTTTGGAGGGGACACACAGACATAAACCGTAACAGGACCCCACAGCACTCTTCAAACAGTGCCTTTCCCATGGTTTTTGGTTTTGTCACCTTTGTGTTTGCGAGTGTTCTTTCTTATTCTTGACTGATGTTTTGAGGGCCAGGACTTTGTATCTAAGTGTGTGATTTATCTACTGTTGCTTATAAAGCACTGCATGGAGTTCAGTCACACATGCCCACGGCCAAGGTTGTTTCGGGGCACTATTTAACTTGACTTGACTGTCAGCTCCCCTCTGAGTCCTTCCTCTCCACCCTCCCCTTCCCTCTACAACCTCATCCTCTCCTTACCTTTGCTACTTTTCTCCTTCACAAGTTCTGCTACCTCTTGCTTCCTGCTCCTTATATTTACTTCTTTTATTTTTTTCTCTCCATTTCTGTATACTCTTTTCATTTCTACATAGACTCTTAATATTAATCTGATACAGTATTTCAACATCTGACATTAGTTTTCCCCACATCAATTGTCTTTTTATAATATTCTAAAGTTTCTCTTCCTGTTAGGTCATTAATTGAATTGAAGCTCCCTGTATCTTCTTTCTTTTCCACTTAAATTCCTTCCCCATTCTCTTCCTGCTCTTCCTCTCTTGTACCCTCACAAGTACATGCAGTCTCACTCTTCTTTTGTCTTGTGTGAAAATTATAACTAATACATATTTTTGCCTTTGTATATTTTAGGGCATGTGTGAGGGTCATATGTTTATGCACAACTTTACATGTGAACTAACTATTGTTGTATTCCCACTTTGTTTTACATTGACCTTTCGGGTTCTCCTCATCAAAGGGCATTGCTTAGGTTTCCTAACTTAGGGCTTCTGCTAATTTTAAAAATGGACATTGTCACTCAGAAGGCTGAGGCAGGAGGATCACAGTGAGTTTAGGGCTGACCATGGCTACATAGTGAATTCAAGGCCAGACTGAACTCCATAGCAAGGCCCTGTCTCAAAAAACCAAATAAAATTTAAAAAAACAGAATAAACTGGAGACAATGTCTGTCCAGAAATACTGCCTTTCTATCCCTTATCAGTCCTTCCCTTCACTCCTTTCCCTCTGCCCCATACATATCCTCTGAACTCTTTTCTACCACCACCCTCTTTACAGGTATACAAATAATACCATCAAAACTCCTTTCCCTCCTTCATCTGCTTTTGTTTCTTTTCAGTCTCCTTCCACTTTTCTTAATTTCTCTTCTTTTAGTTATTTTAACAATCTCTTCACCCTCTCTATATCCAAGGCCCTTTTCTACCAGTATTAATCCTTTGTATGCCTGAGGTATTGAAAACTTGCTAAACAAGTTCTAAATTATACAGCAACATAGGATTGATTCTTAAACACTGATATTACCAGTAGTTGTTCTCTCCTTGTTATTTTATGCTAGGGATCACCACTATAGGAGCAACATTTTCTAGCCCTACTGATCTATACCATTACACACAAAAACACAGAAATCATGCAAAACAAGCCCTTAAAATGCTTCAGAATTCTGATTCTTCAAAGCTAAAGTCACAGACGTGGAAGTGGAGGAAGGTTTAGGCAAACAATTAAAAACCAAATGGTTAAAATTTTTGAAGAGATCAAAGAAGAAACAAATCAGCAAATGAATAAGACAGTCCATGAGCTGAGAGAGGACGTACATAAGCAAAAAAGGAGATTTAATATATGACATCCAATGAGCTGAAAGAAAATGCAAAAAAAGATGTTTCAGTTTAAGAAGTCAAGGCAGAATATGAATGACACTTTAGTAAAGAATTAGAATAAGGAAAAGGTAAACAGATTCCAAAACAAGCATGATGGGAATTTTAATACCCGACCCTCACAAGGAATCTGATCAACCAAGCAAAAACTTAAAAAAATGTGAGAGTTTATCTGTACCTCTGAATGAACCTAACAGATAGCTACAGAGTTGTGGGAGACTAGGCTATGTGACCCACCACAGAGACTGAGGCTTTGCTGACCTTTCCCAGAAAAGGGGTGGGAGGCTGCCCCCTCCCTTGTTCATGTGCAGCAGTGCTGAGGCTCACAACACCTCCAGGGCAGCGGAACATCAGCCTGAGAGCTAAACAAAGAACATTACACATCCAGATGTGAGATTGTTGTGTTCCTTGCTAATCATTTACATTTTCTTGAACTCTGGATTGGTGATTGCTACATTGTTTTGTTTTACTAATAAAAACAGCGTCTTCTAGATTTCTGATGTTCTTCCACGCTTGAGATGGGAGCCCTCTGGTTCCTGTTGTTTGGAAATTTGTCCCTTTTTTCTTTTATTCCTCATCATAACCGCTAGGTGAATTTTCAGGCCAGCTCCTGCACCAAGTGCTTCATCCAACAGCAGCAGAATGCACTCTTCTCAGCAGCACAAGGCACTTTCTCCAAATAGACCTTACTATAGGCCGCAGAGCAAGTTTAAATAAATACAAAGTAATTGAAATAATCTCTTGAATCCTACCAGATCACAGCAGACTGAAACTAGAAACCAAAGAGAAAAAGAAACCACAGAAATGACACAAACACTTGGAGATTAAATAACAATTCCTGAATAGTCAGTGGGTAACAGGAGAAATCAAAGAGAAAATTAATATTTCTTTAGAGCAAATGTTAATGACAACACAACCAATGCATGCAGGCATAATGTAAAAGCAGTTCTAAGAGGAGAGTTTCTACCTGTGTGTGTGTGCCTATATTACAAAATATAGATTATTCCCAAATAAATAGCCTAATGATACATCTCAAGGCTGTAGAAAAAGAACAATCCAAGTCCACATCTCTAAAGGGAAAGAAACTACAATGTGTCACAAACACATAATAATAAAGCAAACATAATAATAAAACATGCGTACAATGATCAGACATATAATATAAAATGCATCAGACAGACGTTTTCACTTCCTTGCTCTTTCCTCTGTTCATCCCACTATCACAGAATTCATCTTCTTCTCCTCCTTTCTTGTAGTCGGGATCTGGAAAATCCCTGAACACCCACATGTAGAGGATTTGGTCCCCAGCCTGTGGTGGAATTGGGAGTGGGATTTTCTCTGAAAGGCACAGTGGACTCTAGTCTCACTCTGTTTCTCTGTCTCCCCATAAATAGGTGAATTAGGCTTTTCAGCCATGGACTGACACAATGATGGACTATTGTATAACAACCCCAAAGCTATTGGACTATCTGACCATTAACCAAACCTTTTGACACTAAGGGATAAATGAACTTTCCAGATTTATCATTTATCTCATTTTATTTCTGTTCCTCTTATCTTGGTGAGAGAAGTTGGCATGCTGTACATACTGAAGCATCACTGACACTCCCCACAAATTTGGGCACCTGATAGGAACTCAATGTTACTTATTAAAGTAGTTTATAAATAGTGGATGCACGTCATCCTTGCACAGAAACATGCAAGAATTCGATGCACACGCTGGAAATGGAACCTGGAGTATGAAAAAGAATTACACACACTACACACACAGATGGGCACTCAGCCACACACACGCACAACCATTGAGCTGTACTCTAGACCGAGTCTGGAGGGTGATCAGATGGGCAGAGAAGTGGGAATATTCTCTTAAGAGCAGAAACTGCACATGCAAAGTCTCAGGCCCAGGTAGCTATGGTGAGAGCTTCATGGAGCAGGAAGAAAAGGCGATGGAGAAGAGTCCAGCGGGGCGGAGACCATGCAAGGTATCCAGTCCAGATGCAGCGTTTGCCCCTGTCTCTGTCCATCAGAAGACACACAGCTGTTCAGACCGTGCAGGAAGTAGACAATGACCGTGTCTGCACATGCATCCTGGAGGCTGAAGTTTGGAGAGATGAGGCAGGAGTCAGGTGGATTTGGTGATCTTGGAAAAGATAAAGTCCAAGAATGACCAGCATCAAGAAGGGCAAAGGGAATAAGCGTGATCAGGGTAGTGCAGGCTCTGGAGGGAAGAAAAGCCAGTTACTGATTGTTGGAGAAGGGACATAGAAGGAGGTCATGCTGGAAAACCGCTGGTTGATTCTGGTTTAAAATGGGGTCACTGAACATTGAACATCATGGGGACCCAGGCAGGAAACCTGGGCCCAGGATGGTGATGGGTGGCTCAATTCTGGCTGAGCCAGGCATCCTGGGTTACCAGGAAGGATACATTCAGCGGGAAGTGCTATGCTGAAAAGTCACATCACTTACCCAAAAGCCTAATCTGTGATACTGTCCATGTCTGCTGCTGGATCTTTCACCTTCTTTCTGTGGACCTTTACTCTAAATGCAGAGACCAGAACCATTTAGTGTGAGCCCTGGGCATGTAGTGGAAAAATCAAGAAACATGCACCCTGCCAAAGGGCTGTAGGGGTGACAGAAAGAGAGAGGAAGACTACCTGCCAGACCTCCCAGGTGGGACCAGCTACCTGCCCAAGTTGGGTCAGAGTTGGCGACTGTCCCTTATGCAGTTCCTACCACCCACTCAGCCCCTGCCTAATCCTGGCCCTCTTCTCCTCCTTGTATTCCTGAGAACTCACAATCTGGGGTTCAGTGTTGAGCAGTTGCCCCTCCTTTAGCCCTGTGCAGCCCTCACCTAAGGATGATGAGACAGAGTCCAAGAAGCAGGATCTTGACAGCCCCCTCCATGACGGCCAGCAGCACCAACTCTGCCATGGGCTTTGATTTCCCTGCATGAAAGTGGAGGAGGCTGGATTCCCCTGCAAAATAACACCTGAGTCATTATTGTCACCTTTGTACTTGGATATAGGCCTCCGAGTCAGTCTTCATCCCTCTCCCACCCTCTTCTCAACTCTCCTGCAGGTGCATAGAGGAAATATTATTTTACCTTGTCAAAAGTTAAGCTCTTACATATAAAGAATTTAAAAAGTCAGGCCCCCGAAATTCAAAAACCCAATCCAAAAATGGGCATCTGATATGAATACACACTTCTCAGATGAAGAAATGTTAACAGTGAAAAAATATACGAAAAAATGTTCAACATAATTAGTCATTTGAAAAATGCAAATTAAAACAACGTTGTTCTTGCTTTGGTTTGTTTGTATTTTGCTATTGTTTTGTTTATTTTACTATTCTCTTTAAAATAAAAGAAATTTAAAAATTAAGCTCTTTTTTCCCCCCACTGCACAGCCCCACCAGCATTTGTTATTGTTGATTTCTTGCTAATAGCCATTCTTTCTGCAGTGAGATTCAATCTCGGCCTTCATGGAATTTTCATCTCTTTAATGATCAATGATGTTGAAAGTTTTGCCATTTATTCTTCATCTGTAAAGTATGTATTCATTTCAGAAGCCAGTTTTGGATTGGGTCTTTAAATATGGAGGGATATAATTGTTTTGCATTCTTTATATATTCTAGATATTAGCCCCTTATTTAGGGAACAGCTGGCAAAGACTTTTTCCCACTGTGCAGGTTGTCTTTTCACTCTGTCAGTGGTATCTTTGGCTGTGCCAACGCTTCTTAATAAGAAGAGGTCCCAGTTGTTGAGGGTTTGTAATATTTCTCATGACGTCAGGGTTTTGTTTATAAAGTCTTTCACTACACCTATGTCTTCAAGAGTTCTATCTATTCTTTCTTCCAGTAGATTTAGTGTTTATATTTTAATATGCAGATCTTTGATATGTTTTGATTTTAGTTTACTGCAAGTTGAGAGACATGGGTCTAGTTTTAGTCTTTTGCACACGGAGAACCAGTTTTTCCAGGACCGTTTATGAAAGAGGCTATATTTCTACCTGTGAAGGGCTTTGGGTCCTTTGTCAAGATAAGGTGGCTGAGTGTGTTTGGAGTTGTGTCTGCATCTTTTAATCTGTTCCACTGATCCTCAGGTCTGATTGTTTGCCAGTACCAAGCTGTATTTCTCTACTCTTCGTGGGAGTGTAGACTGGTGCAGCTACTGTGGAAAGCAGTGTGGAGATTCCCCAAACAAGCTAAAATGGGAGGTTCCATTAGACCAGCTCTTTCCCTTGGTATTTTCCAAAAAGAATTAAAAAGAACATACCAAGAGATATATGCACACCCATGTTTATAGCAACACAGTTTGAAATAGCTAAACCTTGGAAACATGCCAAATGCCAATCAACCCATGAATGGATAAAGATGTGGTTGTTTCATACAAGGGAGTACTGCTAAACCATTAAGAAAGATAAATCTGAGACTTTTATAGGTAGAGGGATGCACCTTGAGATCATACTGTTAAGTGAAATAAACCAGACACACCTGGATAAATATTAAATTTTTTCTCTGGTATGAGAAACTGAAAGTGTAAATGAGGACCAAAATATATAATAGATATTGTGAAATAGGAAGAAAGTCCTCAAATAGGAAAGGGAACTAGGGAGGGCAGAGAGTGAGGAAGGGAAAACAAAGCAAGAAAAGAAGGAAAAAGTGAAAACAAACCTTTTGTAAATAAGGAGGGGAAGTTGGGCTGAAGGGAGTGGAGAGACATGACAGTAAAAAAGAATCAATAAAAAAGAATCATGTACAGGTATAAATTTCTTATGATGAATGTGATCATTATGTATACCTAAATTGTTCCCATACTCTTAATTAATTCAAAAGAGAGAAAAACTTCGCACATTAATAAAAAAATAAACTCTGTGTTCATCAATGGACAACATGAAGAATGTGAAAAGAGAAATCTACTGCTCTGTAAAGAAAATTTGCATGTTATTGATGTGATAAAGCTCTACCATTCAGCTTAAAGAACAAACTCTCAAATTGGAAATTACAAAAAAATTCTCAATTGACCCAATAAACACACGGTCGTAGTAGTTGAAGAAAATTCATCAGAAGAAGATATACAAATGTCCAACAACTACAGGAAATCATTTTCATCATCCTGAATCTTTGTCTTAATGCAAATGAAAACCGCACTGACATAACCATTCAAAGCCACTTGCAGGCTGTAGTTTTTGTAAAAAGTAAAACAATAATGTTGAGAAAGTGTGGAGAGTTGGAGCTTTGCACATGGCTGGTGGGAGTGTAAGGTTGTTCTGACACTGGGGAAACATTCTACATTTGTACAAAAGTTGATCTCTGAATTACAATACCCAAAATTAATATCCAAAGTATAGTACCTAAGGATTCATCTCTGGATTACATCTTAGTAATTCTACTCCTCAATATGTGCCCAAGGAAAATGAAAACACATGCACAGATGAAATTTATTCCTAGTATCATTATTTATAGTTAAAAGTGAAAACAACCCTAGAGTCCATCACGTGATAAGTAAGTGAGTGAAATGTGTTCTGTCCATACAATGGGATGTTATTTACACTTCGAAAGAAATGAAGAACTCATACTGGCTGCACGGATGAATCTTGAAAACAGTATGCTAGGTGAAAGGGCCAAATGTAAGAGGTGACAGTTTATGTGATTCTACCTCTGTGCTATATCAAGAACAGGCAAAGCCTTAGAGAAGGAGGCCAGTGATCATCAGAAGACAATCACTGCTTTGGGCACAGGGTTTCTTTCTGGGGTGAGGAAAGTTCTGGAACTACATAGTGGTGATGGTTGCTCCTCACTATAAATGTACAAAATCCAGGTTGTTTTGTGCTTTACATGGGTGGTGTTGAGTTTAATGTTAATAAATTTTATCTCAATAATATGGATGGATATAAAATTTAAAAGTATACAGAGACACCAAATCCCACCAACTGGTGGGAAAGATAAAAGTTTCTACCGTGGGCTTCAAGACAAGCTCAGTGGTAGTTCTCAATGACCTTCCCCAGGTTCAATCACAGAACCAAAAGCCAGAACCCAAAACAAACAATAAGGTTCTTTGCTTGTTGAACATATAGTCTCTCAGCTCTCACTGTTAGGAGTGTAACTGTACCCACCTTCCTGGAGAAACCCTGGGCCACACATATCAGAGCAAGAAGAAACACATGACCCCGCTGCATTTGCATTTAGGACCTCACCTCCTTGGCATGCACACACTGTGATAATACGGGAAAGAAAACTAAACCAACACCATTTGTGTACTAATGCCATTTTAAAGCTTAAATTTCTGTTTCCTTAAGTTTGTTTCTTGTAAATGTTGTCATAGTCACCTAACCCAATACCACCCATGTTCTGTCATAAGACTGCCTGTCCCCTGTGTAAAGTGTCAAACACCTTTTTCCCTTGTCACAAGCTAAGCCCATGCTTTGTAGTATTTCTGGAGCTGCACTAAATCATATCTGCATCACCCTCCTTAGACCGGGAACTGGAACTGTGCATCTATTCTCCCTTCCTATCCCTTGCAGTTAGTACTCAGTCGTGTACTGGGTACCCACAGCCCACCCTTAATAAACTTGCTTGTCTCTGCATCTGGTCTCCATGGGTGACTCAATCAAATCAGCACCCTTGCCGCAACAGTGGAAATGGATAACAAAAGTACTCATCACACTTTTTCATTGGCCCAACGAAATAAGGGCCCTGAGCATCCATTAGTAGAAGATGCCCACAACATTAGGGTCCTCATGCAGTGGGTATCACATTTAGGGAGCACCAGAACCATCTGTACTGCTGGCATCCCATGACCTCTCTGATCTCAGGGGGATAGACCAAGGCTGAGGGCAGCATATGTGGTCAGGTTACTCCTGGGCAGGGGACTGAGCTTCTGAGGACAGACTACTGTGTGTTCTGATTGTTTGCCTGTGTGGCTCTGTTTCCTTCCACAAGTGCTTAGATTGATGTTATAGGCACATCCAGGTGATGGGGATAAAGGACATGGACAGCCTGGTTCTGCTGTGTGAAGGTTTCCCTCTCTGTGTGTCTGAGGGAATGAGGGTAGGTAAGAAGTGCTCAGGGTGGCCATGGGTGCTGGACATGGGGAGGAGTCACTGGGGTTCCCACAGGGATCTCTGTCACTGGGGTGAGTTCAGGATGGGGAAGGACCCAGCCCTGCATAAACTGAGGTGGTCCTGACCCCAGCTGCAGGGAGGCTGCTCTCTACCTGGGCCAGCTCCTGTGCAACACACAAACTAGAAAGTTCTTTACAGCATCTGGAAGAGGAAAAGGTTTGTTTTCCTCTTGGGTTGTACTGAGGGGTGAGATCACACAGCACTCCTGACTCCCACCCTTGAAAGCCCACAGAGAGAAAGACATGTGTCCTTGCAGGTCCTGACTCAGCCAGGCTTCAGGCACAGATCCACAGGAGTCCCAAGGCCTTGTCCTCCTGTCTTCATGCACCCAGGGACATGGGCACCTGGCACAGCACTTACCTGTGACATTGAGCTGCACAGTCTGTTCCACAGTCACACCAGCTGCAGGGAACATCACGTGACAGGTGAGGTTGGTGCCATGGTCCTGGGGCCGGGGGCTCAGTGTGAGCACAGAGGAATGGCGGGTCCTGGGGCCTTGGGATGTGAGGACAGCTGATGTCCAGTAGAAGACTGGGGGCGTCCCCTGCTCACAGGCCCACGGCACTGAGCAGGTCAAGTTGCTGGGGCGGCAGGGCGCCAGGGTGCTGGGCATGAGGATGTCAGGAGTGTGGGTCAGGGCTGGTGAGAAGAGAAGACAGTGGGATCAGGAGGGTGGGCCCAAGGTGCAGCCCTGACAGAAGCTGGGGCCTAGACCCAGCTCCTCGTGAGGTCCTAATACTTGAGCCCAAACTCTTCCCAAGACAGCATCCATCCCAGCCACCTCCAGAGGCCACCACAACCAGTGTGTCCTGCCCAGTCCTTACCTGTCACTTCCACAGAGACCTGGTCTGCACAGTAATTCCATTGTATACTTCCTGATTCCACCCGAAAGAAGTATGTACCCTTGTCACGCTTCTGTGCATCTCTGATGTGCAGGGAGCAGTTCTTGGTCTGCAGATCCAGAAGGAGGTGGAACCGGTCCCGAGTCCTCTCCTGCACTTGTCTTTGGGGGTGGTTTGTGGCCACCGGAAAGTGGTGATTTATATTGGCCCCTTCTCGAAACCAGTAGCCAGAGACAGTGCTGGAGTTCACGCGAGAGTCCAGGATCATGCAGGGGACAAGGACACACTGGCCCTCCTGTACAGTTACCGATTTTGGCACTTCCAGCCTGTGATTCAAACTCTTGGGTGGGCACCCTTTGGGTAAAGGATGCTCAACTCTTGGTAGCCCCCAATTCCCTGTCCCCTGTGCCCACAGCAGCAGCAGGGGCAGCAGCAGCATCTCAGAGCTGGAGGTCCTGGCTCCTGTGTGTGAGCAGAGAAGGGAGCAGTGTGGTGGGGAAGTGCAGAAACCGGGGTGGAGCAAGACAGCTGGGTGGTTCACAGAAGAGGAACTCAGACTCACACCCATTGGAAACTGCCAATCCACACAGAATGGATGGAAAGCCGAGAGATCTGCCCAGATGGCAGACAGGAAAAGGGGCCCTGTTCTGGCCCCATCTTGGAGGCTTGTTTGAACACTGGGTTTATTCCAGAACACTGGGGACATGTGAGGCAGTCTCAGGATTTAGGGTTAGGCTGCCTAACTCTTGCCTGGCCTTGCAAGGGATCAGTCTTTCCAGCATCCATGCATGGATGGTGAAGAATAAAGGATTCTGAATGTTCTCTGTGTTTGGGACAGAAGAAAGCAAGAGGAGTCCTCAGCAAAGTGCAGGCAACCACTAACCATTCATTCACTCAGAAAGCATGCAGGGAGCTGGAGGCATTTGTTGAACTGGTGAGGTGATGAGGGAGCTCAAGCCTAAGCTGCCCTCACGCAGGAGCTTCAAGACCACAATTGACGGTGGCAGGGTGTGTGTAATTTTAAAATATGAGCAAGAAATTGTTTTCCTAGAACAGCACAGCAGTTCCCAAAGTGCGACACCTCCAGAGTAAAAAACGGGCAGTGTCTTCATGTGACATGAGGAGAACATGAACTCTGCGCCAATGCAGAAGCAACTTCTTTCCCACCAGTGCTTGGTATAGCGCAGCGAGTTTCAGTCTGTTTTTATCCCACAGCTAAGCTCCTCCTTTCAAGTAGAAAATCTGCTTCTCACAGGCAAATGTGCCTCAGAAGGTGTATATATTCATGCTAGCTGAGGGGATAATACAGATAAATTTTTTTCTTCAGCTCACATGGATTGCTCTCTTCCTCATGAGTCTTTCCCAGGGAATCAGACCACTGTTCCCCACATGTGTGTCTCACAGGAGATCATTCCTCTTCCAGGACGTGGAGTGCAGAGAAAGATGGATGGAGACAAGGCTCGGGACACATGGGGGCTCATAAGATCGCAGGGTGGCTCTGAGGACAGAAAAGATACCCCACAAGCACAGGCTTCCCACCATCCACCAAGCCCTACAGAGCTCTACACAGAAGATCTCTTCTCCACCACATCCTGAACACCACTGAACTCAAGGGCTGGAGAGACATTGTCTATGAATTCAAGCAACTGGGACAGGAGATCACTGGGGCAGAAGAAAGCCCACATCGGTGCCCATGGAAGCAATTTGCTTTCAGCTCCCAGCAATCACTACAATCCTGGGTCAGATTGAAACTTTTCAAACATAAATACCACTTTTACATCAGAAGTAGAGGCACAGACAAAAGCCGGTGGAGTGGCCTGCAGGGAGGGGGTCCCTGCCTCTGGGTGGACCACAGGACACCTATGAAGTTACCTGAGCAAGAAAGGCTGGGCAGAGCTAGGAGACGACAGCAGAAAGCCTGGGAAGCTGGGAGTGGTCAGCTATGCAGAGCAACATCAGGGTCAGTGACAGAACCCTGCCGGGAACTGAGGTCCTGACCTGTGAGTGGGAGAAGTGCTGGGGACCCCACAGCACTCTGAGAACATAGTGCCCTTTGTATGGTTTTTGACTTTGTCATCTGCTTGTGTGTGTTCTTCTTTCTTTTTCTTGCTTGATTGCTTGAGGGCCAGAGCACTGTATCTAAGTGTATGAATTTTCTACTGTTGCCTGTGAAATACTGCATATAGTTCTGTCACATATGCCCACTGCCAGGGTTGTTTCGGGGCATTATTTAACCTGACTTGCCTGTCAGCTCCCCTCTCAGTCCTCCCTCTCTCTTCTCCCCTCCCCTCTACAAGCTCATCCTCTCCTTACCTTTTCAATTTTCCCCTTCAAATGTTCTTCTATCTCTTACCTCCTGCTCCTTATTTTTATTTCTTTTATTTTTTGCTCCCCATTTATGTATATTCTCCTCATTTTTACATAGACTGTTAATATTAATTGAATACATCTCCCATTAGGTTCCTCCACACCGAGGGTCATTTTATAAAATTCTGTTCCTGTTAGGTCATTAAGTGAACTCAAGCTCCCTGTGTCTTCTTTCATTTCCACCTAAATTCCCTCCCTACTCTCTTCCCTCCCTTCCTGTCTTACACTCACATGTACACCCATTCTCCCTCTTCTTTTCTTTTGTATAAAAACTCTTATGAATACATGTTTTTTTTTTTTCTTTTTATATTTAAGGGCAGATGTAAAGGTCATGTATTTATGCACATCTTCATATGTGAACTATTTTTGTGTTTCCACTTTGTTCTACATTGGCCTGTTGGGTTCCTCTCTCCAAAGGGCATTGCTTGGGTCTCCTAATGTAGGGTTTCTGAAGTATTTTCATAATGGACACCAGCACTTAGAAGGTTGAGTAAGGAGGCTCACTGTGAGTTCAAGCCCTGTCTGAGCTGCATACCAAGACCTTGTCTCAAAGACCCAAATAAAATTTTAAAAAAGTAAAATATAGTGGAGACAATGTCCATAAATACTGCCCTTTCATCTCCTTATCAATCCCTCCTTTTACTCCTTTCCCTCTGCCCCACACATATCCCCTGAACGCCTCTCTACCACCACTCTCTTTAGAACTATAAAAATAATATCGTCAACACTCCTTTCCTTCTCTCATCTGTTTTGTTCCTTTTCAGTCTCTGTCCACTTTTCTAAATTTCTCTTCTTTTAGCTACTTTTTAAATATCTTTTTCATTCATCCTCTCTATATCCAAAACTCTTTTCTCCCAGTGTTAGGCCTTTGTATTCCTCAGTTACTGAAAACTTGCTAAACAAGCTCTAAATTACATATCAACACATGACTGATTCTTAAACACTGCTATTACCAGTACTTGTTCTCTCCCTGCTATTTTATGTGAGGGATCGCCCCTATAGGAGCAGCACTTTCTAAACCTACTGATCTACAGCATTACACAAAAACACAGAAATCCTGTGTAAATAAGCCCATAAAAAGTCTCAGAATTCTGATCCTCCAAAGCTAAAGGTACAGACATGGAAATGGACGAAGGTTCAGGCAAAAAATTGAAAAACCAAATGGTTGAAATATTTGAAGAGATCAGAGAAGAAACAAATCAGCAAGTGAATAAGATGTTCAATAAGCTGGTGGAGGATGTACATAAGCAAAAAAAAGGATTTAATTATATCATGTCCAATGAGCTGAAAGAAAACAGAAAAGTTGTTTCAATTCAAGAAGTCAGTGCAGAATATGATGACATTTTAGTAAACATTAGAATAAAGAAAAGATAAATAGATTCCAATACAAGCACAGTGGGAATTTTAATATCCGACTCTCACAAGGAGTCTGGTGAGCCAAGCAAAAATTTAACAAAAATATGAGTTGAACTGAACCTCTGAACAAGTGAATCTAACAGATATCTACAGAGTTCTGGGTGACAGGCTATGCGATCTGCCACAGAGACTGAGGTTTGCTGACCTTTCCCTGGGATGGGAGAGGGGTGGTAGGCTGCCCCCTCTCTTGTTTATGTGCAGCAATGCTGAGGCTTACAACCCACCCAGGGCAGGAGAACACCAGCCTGAGAGCTAAACAAAGAAAATTATACATCTGGATGTGAGGTTGCTCTGTTCCTTGCTAATCATTTATGTTTTATTGAACCTTGGATTGGTCATTGCTACATTGTCTTGTTTTACTAATAAAAACAGCACCTTCTAGATTTCCAGTGTTCTTGCACCGTTGAGATGGGAGCCTTCTGGTCCTTCTCGTTTGGAAATTTGTCCCTTTCTCTTTTATTCCTCGTCAAACCCCTAGATGAGTTTGCATACCGGTCCCTGCACAGAGTGTGTAACCCAACAACAGCAGAATGCATTTTTCTCAGCAGCCCATGGAACTTTCTCCAAATAGACCTTACTTTAGACTCTAAAGCAAGTTTAAATAAATACAAAATAATTGAAATAATCTCTTGCATTCCATCAAATCACAGCAGAAAGAAACTAGAAGCTAACAGAAAAACAAAACACAGAAATAACACAAACACTTGGAGATTAAATAACACACTCCTGAATAATCAGTGGGTAACTGCAGAAATCAACAGGAAAATTAAATTTTCTTTAGAGCAAATGTTAATGGAGGTGCAGCGTACCGTTGCTAGCAGGCATAAAATGAAAACCGTTCTAAGAGCGTAGTTTCTACCTGAGTTTGCCAGTATTACAAAATATAAAGCATTACCAAATAAATGACCTAATGAGGCATTGCAAGGTTCTAGAACAAAAACAATCCAAATCCACATCTGTAGAGAGAAAGAAACTACACTATATCACAAACATATAATAATAAAATAATGATATAATAATATAATACTTAAACATATAATATGAAATGCATCAGATACATGTTTTCACTCCCTCACTCTTTCCCTGGTTCATTCCCCTATCACTTCTTCTACATGGATCCATCTTCCCCTTCTCCTTTGCTGCAGTTTGGATCTGGAGCATCCCTAAAGCCCCACATGTAGAGGATTTGGTCCCCAGCCTGTGGTGTGATTGGGAGTGGAAGTTTCTCTGAAGGGCACAGTGGGACTCTGGACCCTTTCTGTTTCTTTGTGACTCCCCAGAAAGCGGTGAATTTCAGTCATGGGCTCACACCATGATGAACAGCTGTATAACAACTCCAAGGACACTGGGCCATTAACTGCACCTTCTGAAACCAAGGGTTAGACTGGCATACTGTGCATATTGAGGCATCACCGACATGTCCCACAAATTCAGGTATGTGGTAGGAACTCAATGCTACTTATTTAAGTAGTCCATGAATAGTGGATGTCTATCATCTGTGCACAGAAGCCTGCAGGAATTTGATGCACATTGGAGATGGACCTGTGTGCATGTGTGTGTGTGTGTGTGTGTGTGTGTGTAGTGTGTGTAGTTAAAGGTCTATTTGGAGAAAGTTCCATGGGCTTGTGGAATCTGTGACATATGCAAAACAACTACACACTACACACACACACACATGCACACATACACACACA